CAAAAAGGAAAAAAAAAAAAAAAAGAAGGGTCACTTTTCAGCCACTGTTTCACGTCACATAAGGAGAAAAAATTGCAAAATGACTTCCATAGGAATGAAAAAAATGATCACAATCCCTGTAGTCCAATGGAATAATCCATTTATGCAAGGATTGCCCACATTTAATTAAAGCACAGAAAAGCCACAACATTTCTTCTCATCACAGTTCTGGTTCTTCTACTGGCTCAGGTTTGACTCCAATGAAAACTATCAACTAGCTCTTTCCATAGAGGTTTTAGACACACACACACGCGTGTCCTTGAGTGTGATGACCAGGAGTATTGTCCCTTATTCTAGTTTTATTCTCTCTCCATTTAGTATGGCAAGAAGAAAATCAAATACATCGATTATGAAAAGCAGCACCTGTACTTCTACATGGGTGAGTCTCTTAGAGCCACATTCCATGTCATCACATTCCCTTGAAGTGAGCTAGTGCTCAAGCTAGAAGGAACAATTGCAATCCTCTCACAGAGACCAGCCCATGTCTCATTGTTATGGAGAAATGTAGTATGTCTTGTTTCAGATTCACTGGGGCAAAAATCTGAAAAGGAAAAGGGAAAAACAAATACACATTTTTAAGAAGCACCTCATCACGCTGGGTGTGGGGCAGGGAAGGAAGAAGATGCTCCAAGGGGTCCTGCATCTGGGATTCTCATCTTGAAAAAGATGAAACACCAGTCAAGAGAAAATAATAGTGGTATTTAAGGAGGGAGGAAAGAAAGATGGGAAAATAATGCTGAAGGATTTACAGTGTGATTCCAAAAAACGGTGGAGGCCCAGGAATAAAAGGCACTTATAGAGCTTCTGTGTGGAAGAAACCTGGCTGTTCCCATGGCCTACATGCAGCTGTGGAAACTGTGCCAGATTGAAAGGAAATAGGGGTAGCCGAGTAATTCTGATACCAAGAAAAAAAAAGGCATCATAAGTGAAAGTGTTTGCTCTCTTGAGAGAGTTTCAAAAAACTCTGTTTCTTGAAAACAAAGAAAATTGTCAAGGAACCTCCAAATCTGCTCATGTAAAACATACTTACACATTTGAGAAATAAACCAAAATCAGGGATGGAACCAAACATTTCCCATAGACCAGTGCTTCTCAACCAGGGACAAGTTTGATCCCCAGAGGACATTTGATAATATCTAGAGACATTTTTTAGTTGTCACAATGGAGGGGAAGGGATGATACTGACATCCCATAGGTAGAAGCCAGGGATGCTGCTGAACATTCTACAATGCACAGGACAGCCCCTTATAACAAATAATTATCTGGACCAAAATGCCAACAGTGCTGAGGCTGAGAAACACTGTTTCAGACGATCTGATTTGTCCAAGTGTAGGCCACTAGAGGTCACCTGTAACATGCCTGAGGAGGATGGCCAGTGGGTACATTTTTTGAAATGTGCGGTCAGCCATCACTGCTGCCTCCTCTACAGCTGGAATTCAGCCTCTCCCATCCCCAAAACTGTTCGACACCCACCTTCTTTCTTGCATGACCAAAAAGAGGAATGAGGACCTTAGTGCCCCAATTTGAAAGGTAGCTGATCCTCCACCTAATTCAGTTTGTGCTTGCACAAGAAAAAGCTGTTGGAGTTTCTTTTCTGAACTTCCCTGAGAACTGTGCCTTCACCTCCCCTGTGTGCAGTGGTGCAATATGCCCTTAGCTTATGAGGAATGAGTGTATGGTGTGTATGCGCTGCAGAATGCCCACCTCACAAATAACACTGCCCCCCAAGAGCTGTTTCATTGTGTCCTTTCCCTTCCAATGCCAGCTCAACATTTCAGGTACAAATGAGTCATACTCAAACTGTTACAGAGAAACACAGCTGGACGTTTGTCAAAGGCAGCAAGACAGATTTTATTCAGGCTACTGCAGTAAGGGTGAGAGACTTCAATATGAACTGAGATTAGTTCTACTGAAATGAAAAGTGGGAGAGAGGCTTTTAAAATGCTGGGGCATGCTGAAGGAAAAGTTCTAAAAGATGTCAGGGGATGGGATAGAGATGGGGGAGTTGGTCAATGTCAATAGGTCAGACCATCTGTGTCTGCTAACTTGCAGTTTTCTGGCAAAGTTAGGCTCCTACACTCCCACAGAGACTGGGAGTAAGGGGCCTTATCCTTCTTGATGATTACATTTCAAAGGGATGGCTCCCCAGGTCCTTAAGAATAGCATTTCTGGTTGTGGAAGATACGTGTCAAAGGAAGAAAGAAAGGACTTGCAATTGTAAGGTTTTTTATTGTAAATGCTCTAAGAAAAGGGATATCAGTTGACTATAGTCAGGTTTTGACTGGAATAAAGTATTAATTCTTTTGGCAGCATTGAGCTTTTTCAGCAGAAACTTTAACAGGGCTAGGATCATCCCAGAGATATGTCCTCAAGCTATGAGAAACTGTGCTAGTGTTTGTTTGAGGCTAAGTATAGGGGCAAATAAGATTATTGTGCTGAGAGTTTGAAGTCTTCATAGGCTAACGTTGAGGCCTAGTTGAGAAGATGGCTCAGGGGACCCTGACTAAAATTTGGTCAAGGAGAAAGTCTTTGTCATAAGCTAAAGGGTCTCCATAACTCCTCTGTGCTCTAGGAAGCCTCAATGGTGCTGGGGGGAAAGCAGGTAAATAGCTCTCTGACGAGGAAAGGCGTATACCTTCTTTATTTCTGCCACCCCAACATATTGTGACAGGACCCAATCCCAAGGATGTTGGGAAACTGAAGGACTTGAATGACCTTGAAAAAACTTGAAAGCTCTGAGAAGAAGCTCTTCAAAGACGGCTCTGTCAAAAATGACATATATCTTCAAACCTCCCCTAGACCCTTTGACGGAAATTGAACCTATTTCCTCGTTCAGCCTTTCAGACTTGGAAAGTCCAATGGAGTCCAGGAGGTAGTTATGGATCTCCATCTTGCATCCCTTCTCAGAGCCAACATTCCGGAAGTGGCATGTTAAGGAGGTAGACTCCCACTGACTTGCACTGGGCTCACGTTCTGCTCATTTATTCACCATCTTTGTTTATTCTCTTTCAGTTGGGCTGCCCCTCCTCATGCCTGTATATTTTAACCTGCAATCCATGCAAGTGATGTACCTTCGAAGGTATTGGGGGGTGAGTAACTTGGCTCATATTCTGAAACTAGAACAGCTAGGAGAGGGGAAATGAAAATGCTCGATCCCCTCCAGACATAGCTTCCTTGAGAACAGGGCATAAGATTTAGCTGGTAAAGGAAGGGAACCCTGCCCAATGAAGAGAAAATGAAATTATGTGCAGGGCATCTAACCTTCAAGTGCTTTTCTCTGCAGGACATTGCCTGGGTCAGCAGCTTTTACATCCGATATTTTATCACATTTGGCCCTTTCTATGGAATCTTTGGAACTGTGCTGCTCATATATTTGGTCAAGTAAGAATATTTTCTTGTTCCCAAAACCCAGATGGACCTCTTGCCTTCCTTATCAGAGCTATTTGAGAAGAGCAGAGGAATATAGCACCATGCCCCATTCCCTGGAACTGAGGTGTTTTCAAGAAAATGTAAAAATAATAAATAATAATAATAACAACAACAACAATAATAATAATAATTGAAATAGTTGAAATCTCCTTGAAGAAGAATTTGCCTTATCTCCATTTTTTCCTCAACTTGCTTGATTCCAAATTGAAGCATTTCAGCTGATCCCCAAGTCCTTTAAAACTGTAATCTAGTTGGACATGATAACCCCTGCCAAAGATAATGACAGGACAGGAATTTTTTTAAGTTATTTTATGACTAGAGTTCTTCCCAAAACCAAAGTGACTTCAGACTATCATTTTTACTCATATAGCTCTCTTCAACTTTCCAATTTATTCCTCCCTCATTCTGTTGCATTATTATCCCAAATCCTAAATAATCATAAGAATAATAATAACTACTATGCATCAGATACTTTGTTAAAGGCTTTACATGCTTTATCTTATTTGGCGTAATCCTCACACAACCCTGCAGTATAGATAGAATCATCTTCATTTTTCTGCTAAGGGAACTGAAGTTCAAAGAGATTAAGTCACTTGCCCAAGGCCATAGAGCAAGTAAGAGCAGAGGCCAGTGTCAAAACAGAACTTGAACCCAGCTCCACCTAATGACAAAGCCCAGGCTGTCAATCACATTGCACATACCCATAAGTTCCCCTGGTATTTTTGATCCTTGCACATAGCTACAGAAAACTTTAGAGTCACTGCTCTGATACATTTGGCAACAGGACAGGTCATGTGGCTGAATATCTAGTGTGTCATCTCTAGATATAAAGGGCTTTCAAAGAAGAAAATCGCCACCATTTTATTGGAACCTGAGTCCCTTTCATTTTCTCCAGTGTTCAGCCAGCTTTGCCAGGAATTACGCAAGCCCAGTGATTGCTACAGAAACACTCCAAAGAGTCATTACTTCCTCCTTTTATTTCCCTGAAAGGTTTCTTGAAAGTCCCTGGATTGCATATGTTACCCAGATGAGCCACATACCAATGAAAATGAGCACAGAGGAGAACCGGGACTGGCTCAGCACTCAGGTAGTGATGGAGTTCCTGAGAGAGAATCTTTCAAACCGTACTGATTTAGAATCTGGTCACCCCAAATGATAACATCTCACCCTTATAGAATATTTGCCACGGGCCAGGCATTGTCAAGTGCTTTGCATGTATTTACATGTGGTAGACGCTATGATTATTCTCCCTTTACAGATAATTAAATTGAGGCAGGAAGAAATTGAATAACTTATTTATATAACTTTTATTGGAAAATAGGCATGCTTATATTATTTATGACCACTCTTTTGCTACAACAGCAGATTTAAGTAGTTGTGAAAGAATTAAAATGTTTACTGTCTGGCACTTTGGAGAAAAGGTTTGCACAGACTACCCCTGCCTCCTAGGCCAAAGTTACTTCCACCTGCTGTGCTGTGATTGACAGGAAAGTCCGTCATTTTCCTGCTCCCTTCGCCAAACTCAGTAGACTCTCCACAAGGCATAGAGGAGTGGTTCTCAAACTTTTTGATCACAGAACCACTTATTTTTTGATCTTTTAGTTTTCATTTATTATTTACTTAATCACTAGTTAGGTTGAATACTTTTCATATATTTATTGGCTCTTTGTATTTCTTTCTCTGTTAATTGCTTGCCCATGCTCTTCGTCCATTGTTCTATCTAAGTATCCATACTTTTCTTATTGAATTTCAATAGCTCTTTATTTACTAGGGATAATAATACATTGTCTATAATATGCACCATAAATACTTTCCCAGTTGGTTCTTTGCCCTGTAATTTTATTATGGAAGGGATTTATTAATATTTCACTTTGTCTTGCATGTAATATCCCTGAAAATATCTATTATAGTGAGCCAGCTACTGTTCTTTTTCCACTCATCTTACCATGTGATGATCCTGGCATGAAGTTATATTAAGAAATTTAGTTAACTTAAGATATTACCATATCATGTATATAGCTGGTATATGAAGTTAGCAAGACCTCTTCACTAGCCTGGAAGATTCTTGGTCCTTCAAATGCCTTCCATCTCACTTAACAATGACTACAAGCAACAGACCACTCTTAAAAGTTATTGAGAACCTCAAGAAGCTTTTGTTTATGTGAAATATATCCTTTAATATTTATTGTATTTAAAATTGAAACTGAGAAGTTTTAAAATATTTATTAATTAATTTTAAAATAACAAGCATAAAACCAATATATGTTGACATCAGAGTCATGATGGCATCCCACATTTAGTAGCCTCTGGAAAATTCCACTGAGAGAATGAGAATGAAAAAGGCAAATAATGTCTTGAAAGTATTATAAAAATAATTTTGACCTTGCAGATCCCATTACAGTGTTGTGAGGAACCTCAAGATTCTCTGAACTATACTTTGAGTAACATAGAACAGCCACAAATGTAACATTTAAAATGGCAACAACCCCAGTTAGAATTAAACCTTTTTTTAAGGTTTAGGCATTGAATTAAATAATATTTATATGAGTTCTTAATCTTGGCAGTCTGGAAAAGCCTATGAACTCTTTCTCAGGATAATGTTTTTGTTTTTTTTTTTTTTTTTCAGGATAATGTTTTTTAAATGCATAAGATAAAATGTGTAAGATTGCAAAGGAAACTACTTTGTTTTTTTTATTATTTTGTTTTTTTTAAATGTATTATGATATTTATTAGTATTATTTTTTTATATTTTACTTCTCAAAATACATTGTAGTTGATTTTCATGCCCCTTCACCCTTTCCTCTCCACCCTCTCTCCCTCCCCCGCACTGTACCTGTTCATTTGACTTAAATAGTTCAAGGAATTTTTGTGGTTATTCTGTCTTCTCCCCTCCCCCCATTAGTTTGTGTGTTTATTTATTTATTTATTTATTTTTAGCTCCCACAAATAAGTGAGAACATGTGATATTTCTCTTTCTTGCCTGACTTGCTTCACGTAATATAATTTTCTCTAAGTCCATCCATGTTGATGCAAATGGTAGTATTTTGTTCTTTTTTATAGCAGAGTAGTATTCCATTGTGTAGATATACCACAGTTTCCTTATCCACTCATCAGATGATGGACATTTGGGTTGGTTCCCGCTCTTGACTATTGTAAATAGAGCTGCAATCAAAGGAAACTACTTTGGAATGTCCTTCTATGCACAGAACCCTTGTTTAGAACCCTTGAATGCCTTACTCCTCATTCAGAAATCCTTTGAGCCCACTCTATGGAAATGATCTTCTACCCCTACAATCTCTACCAAAATTCTACAATTCAACTTTCATCTGCCAAAGTCCACATTCATGAACCATACTTAATCTTCTATATCTAAAAGCAATAATGACATTTCCCCCTCAAATCCTACATACTCTTTATATCTATTCCCTTGTATGTACTTTTTAGCACAATATCTTATTGCCTTCTTACATTGTAAGCTCCTTGAGATCCTATGTATCTTTTACATCTTTCATAGTTTCTTACACAAAATAGCTACTCAATAAGCACTAGTTGAATGATTGAATGAAATAATAAACAACCATTTTTCTTGTTTGACACTTGGACTCTTTTATATCTAATGTAAGCTTTTTCTTTGCAGGTCTTGGCCACCTGTAATATTGAACAGTCCTTTTTCAATGACTGGTTCACTGGGCACCTGAACTTCCAAATTGAGCACCAGTAAGTAATAGAAATAGTTCATGAGAAAGGAGAGTCACTTATAACAACCCCATGTACAATCTAAAGCAGAGCCCTAGGCTCAGGACCTCAGAGTGGGAAATATAAATCAGAATTCTCTATATACTTCTAATTTCTATTACCATCAATGGTAAGGGAAGGAGGAAAGAAAGGAAGGAGGTATAACAATTTTGAGTAAATGGAGCAGAATCATGGAAAAGTACTAGTGACTCAGTTTCTAGAAACCTGCAGGCTTACGAATTGGTGACTGTTTTCTGTACATTTGGTTTGTTGGTGGCACACAAGAAAAATCACACTATTTGGATAATCAAGTTGTGTTGAACTTAATTATAATTTAATTCAAATATTTATCTCTTTAGAACCAAAGCTACAAAATAATCAATAATGAAATCCAGTTCCTGATGCAATTTCCAAATGGTATCTGGCAATACTTTAGCAATGGATCAGTTAGATGGACATACAGTAACAAAAAAGAAAAGATAAGACTTGGAGAGTCCATCTATCCAGCATACTCAGGGGAAGACTTTCCACACCTTCTTTAAGACTTATCTGAGATACTCACAGACAGAAAGAGATCTTATTCCTGTTCATGGGATTTTCTCATACTTTTTTTTTTCATGGTAGTCCTTAAAAACTTCAGCAAAATAAGAAAGAATCATTACTTATATTTTATCAAAGAGGAAGTTAAAACCCAGGAAGGTCACCTGGCTGATTAGTGGAAAGCCTGGGAGAAGATCCCATATCTCCTCACTTGTTATTCTTATCCTAGGTTTTTTCCCCATGTACATTGACTAGAATTTATTGAGTAGTCATCTATCCATGAGACAGGAGTTGGATGGATAGAGAGGAGAGAGAGAGACAGAGACAGAGGTGGGGTGAAATGACAGACAACCCATACCTTCATCTGACCTTGCCAAAAATAAACATACTTGATGGAACTATTATTTATTTTGTTAGCATCTCCCAAACATTTGCCACCCACATGACTCACAGAGGTGATAAGAGATAAGGTAAGACTGTTTTGACAACATTTTTTTAACTTCCCAGAAGTATTATGCAAGGTCAAGTTTGAGTCTGAATTGCTGATATAATTTTATTTGGTGATAGAAGAAAGAAAATTCCTTTGGGTTTCTCTTTAGGTCTAAGTTTTGTATCTCCCGTCTGCTTCCCTAGTCTATTCCCCACAATGCCGCGCCATAATTATCACAAGGTGGCACCTCTGGTGAGGTCACTGTGCACCAAGCACGGATTGCAGTATGTGAATAAGCCCATGTTGAAGGCGTTTGGAGATATCGTCAGGTAATAACACTATTTCTCTCAGCTCACAGCTCTCATTTCCTCACTGTCAGTCCCCAGACTATTCACTGGCTTGTGAGTCATTCACCCAACAGCCAATTATTAAGGGGCACCTGTGTGCCCAGCATGGACATAGGATTACAGGTAACAATACCAACAATAATGATAATAATAATAATAATACCATTTACCTATTGCCTTCTAGGCACTTAGTGAAAATGCCTTCCTGCCCTACTAAATTTCAAGTTTCTTGAAAACAAGGCTGTGTATTACTTGTCTTTGTTGCCACCAATTAGAACTTAAATGGTGGGAAGAACTGTCAAATCGCCTGGCCCACTGCTGCAAACTTAGATGCCTGCAGGGTCTAAATGTGTAAATCAGGCTGGGGTGACTGATGAGAGCAGTGAGGCATGCAGAAACTGAAAATCCATACTCATTCTTAGACATTCACACACAATTTCCTAGAGAACATTGTGCTGGTCAAATTAACAGCCAGTAGTCCAGATTTAATAACTTTTTCTTTCTTTCATGATTGGGGATTTAAAAAGTATCCTAACTGAGGCCAACAAAGCCAGGGCTGAGCTGATCGCACCACTGACTGGTGCCTACTTTCAGATTCTCCACGTTCCCCCTTCTCCCTCTCTGACCTCCAGATATCTGGCCTACCTTAAGTTACTGCAAAACTCCCTGCCCTTGGCCATCTCATCCCTTTGCTACTTTTTCTTCTGCCTGGAATGTTCTTCCAAACCACCTCCTCCCCTCACACTACCTTGTCAATTACCATTCACTCTCTAAGGCTCATCTCAAATGCCTTTTCCTTATTAGTCTTCACTAAAGACTAAATCTGTCACATGCTCTTGCAGCACCCGGTTCTCTTCATTTGTGACCTTTATTACAATCATAATTAAATGTCATATTGGGTAATGAATTATGTAATATCTCTCTCCCAAGTTAGAACAGGAACTCCATGTGGACAGGTCACACATCTGTCCTCTTCATTGCTGTATCCCCAGAGCCTGGAAAAATATCTTCCACATTATGAAATAGGGTAGGGAGGTGGATTGAGGATGGGTTGGTATATGGGTACAGAAGAGAATAAAATGAAATAAAATCTCAATCTCCTCCATGAAAGAATTCACCTGCTAAAACTAATTCAGTGTATTTGAGCCCCTCCACTGGGCAACAGAGAAAGACATTTATCAGCTACAACTGCAAATGACAGCATTGCCCTGAACCGAGCAGAGGAGCAGATGTTCCATGGAGCAGTAGCTCCGTTTACACTAGTCTCACCTCCTGATGATCTTTTTTTTTTTTTTTTACTCCTCCTACACAGGGCCTTGAAGAAATCTGCAGCCCTCTGGATGGATGCTTACTACGAAATATGATGCAGAATGTCAGCCCTGACACACATGGAATTGCATCTCTAAAGGGGGGTTGGCAAATGTGCAAGACCTCTCCCCATCTCAACTGGGAATTAATTAGCACCATTGGCATACCTGAGTGTGCCAGGAATGTGAATCCCAAGGGCACAGGATAACCTCTTCCCTGAAGGTGTTCTCTGCAAATAGAAGCCAGGAAACACAAGGTAGACTTGGCCAGGGTTACAAAAGGGAAATGGGTGCCTACTGTTTTTATTTTTTCATTAGGAACTTGAACTTAATTTCATCAGTAGTCCTTAGTCATGTCATCTCAGTCGAGGGCATAAGTACAGGAAGCAGTTAAAAGGTGTGTGGATGAAGTGGACATAGGAAGAAGTGGACCAAAGGAGAGAGATCTGATGGACTCCTTTGAAAAATAGTGCAATTGCTCTTAGAAGAGAGTCATGTATTTAAGTAGTTTCTGTTGATGGACAAATTTTTGCTTATTTCTTTTCAAATATGTGAACTTATTTTTCTTTAAGAATTGAGTATAATTAACATTAAAATCTCTTTAAATAAACCAACATTCACTTCAGATTTTCACTATTGCACCTGCATATGTGTAATTGCTGCAAATATACACACTTTGTTTCCAAGAGGAGAAATGAGAATTTCTGTAAAATTTCTTAAAGGAACTTCCTACATCCAGTCTTAATAGCAACTGATCAAGCAGGCTAATGTTTTATATTTAAAGATGTTTTATGTTTAGCTAAATAATAAACTGTCCTTTGAATACAAGATTTACTTGCCTACTCCCTACCCACCAGAGCAGAACTACTATACCTCATTATTGGGTCACCTGATAAAAGAAAAGGCTTTGTTTTCCATAATAGAGACCCCAGGCTGTGACAAGGTATTTTTCAAGTTTGGCACCAAATGAAGCATGTCTTAGGACAAAGGCATTTTATTGCTGGAAGGATGGGTACACACTCTCAGTGCCAAACTGATCTCTAGTGTCTGTGCTTTTGCTCAGCTATTCATGGGGGTCATATCAAAGCTGACTTTAGCTGCAGGGAGGAAAAGTAGGAGAGTGCAAGCTTCCTAACCCCGGCTGCAAGCAAGTCAGCACATTGGTTTATCTGTTGTCCGAAATTCTAAGCATTCATTCCCTTACTCCAAACTCTGCAAAATACTCTTTTTGTTTGTTTCTTAATTAAATTCCTAGCAAAGGACACCACATTAAATTACTCACAGCTCCTGGGGAGTTAGCCATATATGTCAAAGCTAAAAAAAACAAGAAATGGCTGTCTAGGAGGAAGAGGCATTGAAATGGTCATAATACTAAATAGGAGAGTTGGGCAAGGAATAAGAAGGATGTAAAGCTGTGTTGACTGCATGATTCCTTCTAATGAATGAGGAAGAGCTCATATTCCCCCTGCTGGTAGATCTATAAGTGATTTCTCCTGCCTGAATTCAGGATTGTGAGTGGGAGTAGGGTAGAGTGGTTGCTTTTTTCTGTCTCACCTGATCCAACTCCCAAAATGCTTAAGCACTGTTTGTTCTCCTGGTCACTAGAAATAGCAAACAGACCTCTCCCTGGGCAAACTTACTACCTCAAATGTATTTCCCCCTTGGGGTCAAAACTAGCCCACTTTGTAGTTCCCCCAAACAAAGTTGGTCACTGTGTAATTTCGAAGAAATCTGGGAGATTTAGATGGTTATGTAGAGGGAACATGCGAAATCAGTTCCAAAAAGGTGCTAAGCTGCCTGGTCCTGGGCCTTTCTTTGTTGGGAGGTTTGATTACTGCTTCAATCTCCTTACTTATTATTGGTCCGCGCAGATTTTCTATTTCTGCATGATTCAGTCTCGGTAGGTTGTATGTTTGTAAGAATTTATCCATATCGGGCCGGCCCGGTGGTGCACTGCTACAGTGTGCCGCTTGGGAGTGTGGTGGCACTCCCGCCAAGGGTTCGGATCCCACATACAGACCGGTTCCCGCTCACTGGCTGAGTGAGGGGCGGGAGCAACACCGAGGGTTGCGATCCCGTTGCCGGTCCTGGTCCGGTACGGGCGCGACACTGAGGGTTGCGATCCGTTGCCGGACACAGAAAAAGACAAAAAAAAAAAAAAGAATTTATCCATATTATCTAGGTTTTCCAATTTATTGGTGCATAATTGTTCAAAGTAGTTTCTGATGATCTTTTCCATTTCTGTGGTTTACAAAAAGATGTACTAAACAATGTTTCGGGATTCCTAAACATGTATTAATGTGATGAAGAGAACAAAGAAAACAGTAAACACAAAATTGAGGGTTGTGGGGAGAAAAAAGTGCTAGGTAAGAACAAAAATGTATCAATGGAGTGAACTTCAATTTGCTTAATGGGTTGCTGGTCAATAAAACCATCATTTTCCTGAATTTATTATCTCAATTGATTTCTCTCATCCTGCGGTGATTGGTATTTGCACTTGGTGAAGCATTGACTATATTTCTGCTGCTTGTTCAATACGTTTCCCAGAGGAGGAGAACCAAAGCGTGTTGCTTTCACAGCTTCCCAGTCCACTGAACACTGAGTTAGAACTTAGATGACCCATCCTATAGGTCATTTTATTTCTGCCCTTCATGCTCTGCTCTCTGGGCATGTGAATGAAGGTAGCTTAAACAGCTACACTCCTGCCTCTTGAAAACACTCCTAAGTTACATTACAGTCCCACCTGAAACTCTTCAATGGATTCCCAGGGCTCTAGGAATACAGACCAAACCTTAAGACTGCCCCAGGCACCCTGGCCAGCCTCGTAGCATTCCAGCCCTTGCTCCTGCTACTTCAGCCCCACTGGCTTCTTTCAAATGTTCACCCTCCCTCTGCCACAGGGTCTCGGCTCCTGATCCCATGTCTGAACCACTCTGTCACCCTCCCTGCCCTCACTC